TTTTTTTTTATGTTTGTTACCTCAGAACTCCGTCATTTATTAACCGATTTGGACAATTTTTGTTTTGTTTGAAAGGGTATACTTCCAGATTGGTCCCATTTAAATTTCAAAAAAAAATACCACCCCTAAGGGTGGAAAAACAACTAATGATGAATTTAACCTACTTCTAATTGTCATATTGACTCGAAACCTTGCAAGTATTTCTATTTCCGTTGATAGTACAGTGGTTCGGTGTTGTTGACCTGATCTGATGGCAAGGCCAGAAGGTGGATAGGTGGAACTCTTCAACGGCTAATAGTAGATACTTTGAGTTTGGGCTTATTTTGTTTGATTTGACAAGCCTAACATGTTAGAATCCTTACTATGCTACTACTGTCTACACTAAAAAGGGAAAAATAAAAACTTTTTAACAAAAAAATAAAAACCGACTTCAAACAAAAGTACTAAAAAGTAAAAAATAACTGATTGGTAGTTTTCATTTACTATACATACCTAATCAAATATTTTCGAAGTCGGTGTGCTTTGGCTAAGTAATTAAAGCCTACCTTTTAAATACATACCTAATCAAATATTTTCGAAATCGGTGCCAGCCCATACAAAGCAAAGCACACCGACTTCGAAAATATTTGATTAGGTATGTATAGTAAATGAAAACTACCAATCAGTTATTTTTTACTTTTTAGTACTTTTGTTTGAAGTCGGTTTTTATTTTTTTGTTAAAAAGTTTTTATTTAGTGTATGTTTACTTAAATAATAGCTACCTTTTTACTTGTAGTCTATATATCCTTACATAAATACATAAGTATTTTCGCCATGTTTTTTTTATATATTACGTGAGATTGGCGGAATAAATTACTGTGCTCAACGCAATTTATTAAAAGCCATAAATAGAACATAAACAAATTATCAAACTTTACATAATTTTATGGAATTGAGAATTTCTTATCAAACTGTATTTTTCTAGTATAGAATTTTTATTAAAGAATAAATAACGTAAGACTTCAAAAGATAAATTATAAATTTGCAACACGCCCTACGACCTTACTTGAATAAAAGGCAATCAGTTGCTGATTATACAGCGCGAGTACGATGAATGTGCATTCATTACCGTCTTGACTTACTAACGCGATTCATGGTTTCAACGTGTATTTACTATTGTGCACTATTATAGTTTCTTATACATATATCTTATACTAGCGCATAAACCTCGCTTTGCTCGGGTGCGTGCCTAAATCCGGGTCGTCTGGGCCCGTCTCTTTTACCCGACTGCGGCGAAACCCAAAGAAGGGTTATGTGTTTGACCTGTGTGTATGTGTGTTCGATCCTATATTTACTCGTAATGACTAAACGGCTTAACCGATTTTGATGATTCATACGTGAGTGTCTTAGGGTACATAGATATTATTAAAAAACAAAAGGGCGTATCCTAGGCCCTAATTTTTGTGTTTTGTTAAAAAAAGACATCCGAATGATTTCCATATATTTCATTGCTTTGTTTTAAAACGTTTTTAGGTAGCGCAAATCGATGTTCAGAATCGGATCAGTAGTTAAAGACATTACAAACGGTACGATTACTTTATATTGGTTTTTACTATAGAGTCGCTTCGCTTAGGTGCGTCTCAAGTATCTTTTTGAGATTACTATACTCCAGAAAGACCACTTGATGTACTGGACTAGACACTCGCCGGCCAATAAACTATTTGTAAGCATAAAGTCGCAACGATCTGTTGCTCGTCCAGCATCCTAATTTGCTGAGTGTTTCCAGTTGAATATATGTCTGTAGCATATAGTTACTGAAAAACGCTTGACATAGAGCTATCGCATGAGCGAGGCGAGTGCAGATCACTAGCACATTATAAATTCGAATACAAATATACATACATAATGTTTGTTTGTCATATATTCGAGTGCTCGCTCTGTTCCCGACACTCTCATACTCCGGTGGGACGTCATTTAGACACGGCCGGTAAGGAATCAGGTTGTTACTGAGATTACAGAAAAAATCGCCAAACCGGGACTCGAACCCAGGACATCCGGATTTTCAGCCGTATATGGTACCTACTAAACCACTGAGACATTTTTACGTATAATATATGTATATATATGTTTATTAAATCTTTATATGAAATCCTAAGTTTGCTGTATTATTACATATTACGTGACAGGACATGATGGAGTGCTAATCGGCATTTTCGTCTAGTTATTATTTACTATATTCCCTACATACTCTTTTTATTTAGCACAACACCTATATGTTTAACTAGCGACTCACCCTCGCTTCTCTTTGGGTTCGTCCCTAGAAAAAGAAAAAAAAATCTATCACATGGGATCCGTACATTTTTCCGGGATAATATAAAATCTATAGCCTTCCTTAGTTAACGGGCTATCTAATGCAAAAAGAATTTTTCAAATCGGATTAGTAATTCCTGAGATTAGCTTGTTCAACCAAACAAACTCTTCAGCTTTATAATATTTGTATAGATTTATGTATTCTTTGGAAACTTAATTTATATGAGGTTACTTACGTTATCAAAGTTTTTTGTTCCAATTTAATTATAAGAAAAACTATTGTATTGTGTTATCAAAGCTTGCTAGTTTTGATAACATCATACAATAGCTTTAATCGCTTATATCAAACCCTGAAAGCATGTCAAACAATGATTATTCAGAATTAGTCTGATGAATATACATACGAGGTATCGTTATCGTTTAAACCTCGGTGCTAATGCCATTCATTCGTTCATTTAAGATTCCAAGGTGTACCCTTTACAAACAAATGTGACCTATTTGTTTTGTGTTAGCAATTATGAAATTATTTTGAAGAAATGTTTCTCACTGCAAGAAATAAAGTAGGTGCGCACTTGTTTTTCAGATTCTGACTGCTTAAGGTTTTGATTTAGTGGTAATTATGTACTTTCTTGGCTGGAAACTAAAGGTGGAATTTCACTTTAGTCCATTTCGTGATGAAAATTATTTATATTACATGAGAATAACATTGTGTGTTTGATTGTACCTTGTAAATGATATGTATAGTGTACGCATACATACATGTATACGCATACAGCCTTTTTTAACGTCCCACTGTGGGCACGTGCCTCCAATCATACGAGGGGGTTCAGGCTATAGTCCACCACGCTGGCCAAGTGCGGGTTGGCGGACTTCACAGCTCTTTTAAAATCTAGCTAGGTTCTCTCAGACATTCACTCTTACTCACGATGTTTTCCTTCACCGTAAGACAAGTGGTAATCATGTTGGATATATCAGAAGTGCCAACAGCAACTCGTTACCACTGGACCACTGACATGTATAATTTGAAAGTTATTATATTGTGCTTTAGTACTTTTCACCGAGAAGCCATGAAATAAAAGAATTGAATTAGTACTATTTTTGAGAGTTAAACAATGTATAATCGGCAATAAATTGTTTAAATCTAGTTTTACATATACTCGTATATCTTTAGTTGAAAATTCTGGTTTAAACCCATTTCGTTTTGTTTTGAGTATTAAGTATACACATATTTACCTACCATTTGTAGTAAAATACTAGAAGGTACCTACCTATACGAGTATATCTACAAGAAAATGTTCAATAACGTTCTACTTAGGTACGAATGCACGATACTGCACTTCGTAACAGATTTGAGTCTGATTTTATGACGTGTTCAAGTTTCGTTATGGTCACGAATGAGCTGTTAATCCACAGCCTTGACATATTTGTTTCCCGATTCATTTTAAGTAAAATTGTTCTGTCAACAAAAAATGAAAAGAATAAGTTGGAAGCAATCTCTGTTCGCCGCATTGCCTATTATAAGCATGGATCGTCGATTGAATAAATATTTCTTGTTTTCAAAGACAATTGTAGTGTATCAACAACAGTTTACATTTGCATCATAATCGTATATTTAGCTCAGAATAAATAAAAATTTTGTCGTTTATTTTGAAAATAATGCTATATACTATAATAATGTTATTTGGAACTGCCCAGAAGTTGGTTTATTAATTACTAGCGACTCACCCTCGCTTCGCTCGGGTTCGTCCCTAGCTTGCTTCCCAATACAAACTTTCATCCCCATTTTCACCCCCTTAAGGGATGATTTCCGGGATAAAAAGTATCCTATGTCCTTTCCAGGGTCTCAAACTATCTTACCAAATTGCATCTACCCCCAGACTGTTCTTTCAGACATTACCCCCTACAACGTCACAAACTCTCAATCTCACAAACTTTACCTCTTTATAATATTAGTATAGATTATTAGATACTGAATTTACTTAACACCTTTTTAGTGTTCGGTTCTCGTGAAAGTAAACCAACATGAACAAAGTGGCTAATTCGTTCATGTAAACGAATTACAGATTTATATTTGACTCTCAGCGGTTCTAACCTATCTTTCTATAGTTTTCCACTGATGGAAATTTGACATAAGCTCCATCCAAATTATGTCATATTGCTTTCGCTAGTAAGGAATGAAAACGCTCCTCCTTCCTCCGTGCCCTTTATTCATTATCCTATTATAATTCTAATAATTTATATTATTTTTATCTATTTTTCTCAATAACTATGTATTCTTTTTTAGAATTACACGAATATTTTACGTTTTAAATAAAACTATCTAACCGGATTTCATCGCGGATTTATTTTGATTATTATTGGTTATTTTTATTTAAAATATCAAATAAGTATTTGCATAAATGTAAGAAAATGTTACTTATTATTTTCCTTATAACACCCACGATTGTTTATCAAAGTCTTTCTTAAATACTGCAACATTGGAGGACCATATTGATGATATTTTGTCTAAAGGTAGTTTAGAGGATTCTAGCCTCTAGGATAACAAAGAATATTTTTGCTCCAAAGCATCATTGGTTCACCTAGAATATAAGTCAGTTGCAACAAAAATTAACACAGGAATCCGCCTATACAAAAATAATACAGATTGTTATGTCCTGTTACCAAAAAGTTTTGTAAAAACAAATTGTAATATTTATTTTGCTTCTTTCCAGGTGTACTTAGCCCTGTTCAAACCACTGCGGGTCTCCAGACGGCAATTCCGCCGTGTGTTAATGTGCATGCGCAATGTACGTCATTTGAAGTGTCACGAGCTGTATGCGCACGAGAAGGTCACTAAGGTGGACAGCTTATCACTCGTCTTATCTGGCAAGTAAGTGTGTAAATCTCTAATCAAATGATATGAAGATGTTGAAAGTATGTGCTTTCACTTGTATTAGTTACTCCATTTTATACTTTTTTGTGTTTGCTTTTGCTCCTTTATATTAAGCTAGATGTCAATTTGATAAAGTATTAAATTAATTTAAGTTTTAAATAGAACTATGTATCTTTTAGGATTTTTTCGCAAATTTTAGTTTTAGGTATTTAAACAGTTCTTGGGATGAATAAAATGACCATAATATGTAATATAAATAAAATGTTGGGACATCAACACACAGCAGCATCTAGTTCGATGGTAAGCTACGAGGCTTGTGTTTTGGATACCAGATTGTTGATACCACTACACATATATAACTTTAAATACATACATGTTATAAATATAAAGACCCATGATTGGAGTACAAACATTCGTGCTCATAACACAAATGAATGCCCTCAGCAGCACTCGAACCCACGACGGCTGACACAGCAAGTAGGGGTCACTAGAAACTGAGCCAAACGTGTCGTCTCCAAAGTATATACTATGGAGAATACATATTATGTATGTATATTGTATATACTATTCTCTAGTGAAGGATAAGAAACTATTAAAGAAAGGCATTAAAAACAGTGTACTCCTAGATGGGTTAGTTAGTATAAGAATATAAATTTTTTCTGGTACATAAATAAATAAATAAATAATTAGTAAATGTTGTGACTAAATTATAAACTTACTTATCAAGACTGTATGTCATCAAAACAAGCGTAATATCTAAGAACGTTGCTGTTTTTACGTAAACATAGTGTACTTTGTAACTTCACTTATTTTATTTTTATAGATAAGTAGTAAGTAATTCTCATAATTATAAGTCCATCAATAATTTAGTAATACTTATAAAGCTTATTATATAGGCAAATTTCTAAAACTTAAAAAAATCGGCTTACAGATACTAAAAAGTAAAAAAATATAAACATACAGACGAACGTAGAACTTCCTCCTTTTTGGAAGTTGGTTAAAAATATAATTTTCCATAATAACTACTAACTTAAATTACTTAAAAACTTGCTTTGCGTTTTCGTAAGTACCTACCAATTAGCTAGGTATGGATTTTTTATTGCATTTTTAAGTTTCGTACAATTGATGAAAAAACAGCACCCTTATCGGATCACTGACGTGACTGTCAGTCCGTCGAGACGGATTGAGAGTCTAGTGATATATTACTTCGTTCTTCTCTTTTCGTTTATTTTAAGATAATATGGGTGGGTCTGGGGGGCGATATCCTTTGCCACCGAATTGCAATGGTACTCAGACGATTCCTTACATGAAACAGTGGCAACACTTAGAGGAATGTAGCATTTTTGTTTGTTTATTAATTACTAACTACTGCACGTGGCTACGCTCGCACCTATATACATACGTATATATGTATGTTTGGATCATAACATCCAATTTACTTAGCTATGTTATAATTTACTTGTACAATAATTTTAAAACATATAAACAAAAGCGGCTTTGATCAACTGTAATGTATGGGGCTCTAAAATGAATCAAATGAGAAACTCGAAGGTTTTACTAGATACCGAGAGTTCCATTATCCATACCCTGGCTCCTCATCAGCTCGATGATATCAAAAATTTGTATTGCCACCGAATTTCATATACCTACGAACCTATACGACAATCGAGAGATGATTAAATCGTTTTCCCAAATTAGCTTGTATTCAACCCTTTTTAACGCCCCACTGCTGGGCTCGGGGCATGCTTCAGTACTAGTGGGATCAGGCCATAGTCCACCACGCAGGCCAAGTGCAGGTTGGCGGATAAAATCGTTTACATAGTTACAAGTTAAACTAACAATTTGTTATCAATGCATTCACACACACATTTATTATTATGTATAGGTTTTTTATTAATAACAGATGTACTTAAAAACTATTTAGAAATGAGATCATAGTGTCAACATAAATTTAAAGCGCAAACGGTAAACAAAGGATGGATTAAGCTTGGGCATAATCCCGCGATATCATTTGCGCAGCGCCTGTGTCTATGGTAATAATAGACTGGAGAGAATACCTTGTCATAGAATTTCAAATGAAAATCATTGTTACAAAAGTTGCTATAGCCCTAATTAAAACGCCCAAATAAAAGATCTTTGTTTTACCAGTTATTAATATTGTTTCTGTCTAGAAATAGTTTTTAAAACAAAAAGTACGTAAGATGGCCTCTACAAGTAATATATATGTACTAGCGGACCCGACAGACGTTGTCCTGTTTACACGTCTTTAATTTGAAAATTTCAAACTTTTTTTAATAATTTTTTTGATGAAAATTATTATTCAAATTGTGAATCTAAACCATTCCCAGATCCCCTTGAACACACACAAAAAATTTCATCAAAATCGGTCCAGTCGTTTGACAGAACTTCAGTGACATACACACTCACAGAAGAATTATATATATAAAGAAAAGCGAAATACCACTTACTGACTTAAACTACAAATTAAGATAGGATTCCTCATGGGAAGAATGTATCCACCTTAAAATGATTTTTGGATATACAAGGATTAGAAAGGGGTTGCATGCATGCAAGATTGCATCCCTTATTTTTAAGTTACAGTGATCCAATTTGGAAATTATAGTTTTTCTTCAGGTTAAAAGGGACGACTATTTTTTTCAAAGTTTTAGGCAATATATCTAGGGATGAAAAATATAAATAACACATGATATGAAGCTTAGGCGCTCCTAAGTGCGTCGTTGAGCAGTCTATACAGATAAATAAAATTGAAGTGTCTGTTTGTAATGTCAAAATAACAACTTTTTACTAAATGCATATGATATTATATACGGTACTTATACGAATACCATTTTTTTTTATTTTTGTCTGTCTGACTGTTTGTTACGGCTAATCTTCAAAACGGCTGAAATGATTTTGATGGTACTTTCACAGCTGATGTTACGAATAGTAATTAGACTACTTTTATTTTAAAGAAAGAATTAAGGCTCCACTAAATAAAATTAAAACGTACTTAGGGATACACCCGAGAGAAGAGAGGGTTAATCGTTAGTTATGTATACTATACGTTTATTCTATTACGTATGTTATGTATTACTAGTATTGCCCGCGGCTCCGCCCGCGTTCAGATGACCAAAAACCAAATTCTTAGGTTGTATACATGAACGAATTAGAAATTCGTTCATGGTTGTATATATTAGTATACTCTTACATTTTCCCGCGGTAAAAAGTATCCTATATGTTGACCCGGATAACCAGCAATCGCCATACCAAATTTCATCAAAATCCCGCCAGTGGTTTTTCTGTGATGCAGTAACAGGCAGACGGACAGACAGACAAAAATTCTTATTCGGCCTATGTATCGATAATAGTGTTTATTTCAATAAGATTTTCCAAAAAATATTTAATGTACAGATTCGGCTTAGTTACAATTTTATTATATGTATAGATAGATAAATAAACTACCTGAGCGGAGCTGTATAGAAACGCTAGCCTTAAATAATATCACACGTTTGTTTATAATGTACAACATTAATTAACAAAGCTTATAACATTGTCCCATGTTATACATATAAGATAATTGAAGATGGTGTTGTGCGAGTCACTTTGAGAATTTTCGAAATATATTAAATTTTCAATTAATGAATGCGTGTAACGTCGAAAACGCTTCATCGTTAAAGGGGGTAATGAAGCGTGCTATCATAAATTAATTATTATCGAATGTACGCCTACTTGGCTTACTTGTTTGTAATATGATAATGTTGTACTTTATTGCTTGTTTTTAAAACTCCTATTAATATGATTTTTTGTTAGAAGTATGAAACTTTATAGATACTAGCGACTCACCGTCGCTTCGCTCGGGTTCGCCCCTAGCTTGAATCCCAACACAAACCGTTATCCCCATTTTCACCCCCATTAGGGGTGATTTCCGGGATAAAAAGTATCCTATCTCTTTCCCAAGGTCTCAAACTATCTTCTTACCAAATTTCATATAAATCGGTTCGGTAGATCCAGAGATTACCCCCTACAACCTCACAAACTCACAACTTTACCTCTTTATAATATTAGTATCGATTAGAGCTAAATCTACGACGATTCTAAGATTTTCTTTTCGTTACTTTTTTTATTATGATTGATCTACATTCTATTTATGATCTCGCTGCGCTTACCTTTGCCACTTCAATAAATAATAATATATTTAGCTAAATTAGCATAAATATGACAAACTGATTTGATTTCTTGAACGATTGATTTCCGTTTCAGAGAGTTTCAGGAATGTGCCTCTATCAATAACAAGTATAAAATTTAATTTCCGCTTATATTTAGATGTAACGGATCCGGGGAGGAAATTTCGAATCAAAGATTCGTAATTGATCAATCAAATAGGTTTTCTACTTATTTTTCTTATTCTTTCCTAGTTGCTTTAATATAACATATAATGTTTAGAAATGGTTTTTCTTAATTATGTTGAAAAGTTCGACCATAAATTACATAATAGTATACTAGTACAGATGCCTCTTCTCATACAAAGAAATTGGACATAGCAAATTCGGGCTATTTTTGTTTGCTTGCATAGATAATTATAGACGTCGCTAATCCGCAAATTGTTAAAACAGCTTACTTTATAAAAACGTGTAAAATAAAGATACAATAATAATAGTGCAATTCATCCTGAATTCGTTCAAATATATTTCGGTGACTTTAACTGGTAATCAGTAAAATTACGCGAATTTGATTTACGAGCGTATTTTTTCGTCTTCATCAACTTAGAGAATTTTTTTAAACTTAAAATGCTATCCTTTGATCTTTATTAAACTATTTTTTCTTTGTTTTTTAATAAAACCTCATTATTCAACGCGGACCTATTTTTTAACATTAAATTTACTTAGAACCGAATAGTTACCAATACGTTAAAGAATAACTTTAAATATTTGTAAAATTAACTTAAAATTGACCAATCTTGCGTTATTCAACCAAGTGAAGTCTTAACTTTCTAATTT